GTCGGCCGCGGTCTCGGGGTTGGAAGCCTGGCTGTCCGCGCTCCTCGTGTGCCGGAGCACTCGGCAGCGCTGCTTCCCGTAGCCCCCGCCTTTCACAAAGGTGGAGTAAGTTTATCGGACCGCCGAAAGTTGTTCTTACAGTTCACTAGCCCGTTTTAATTTCCCAGGGGCTCGCAGGGGAGATTTTGCCGATGATGGTTGCAGTAGTAAAATCGGGAAAATTGTGTTGAGTAGATTTGGCTTGGTGAGCAGTTCTGCTGTGTCTGCTGAACATCAAAGCTGAACATACCTTGGTCGATTGTAATTGCCTTTTTAGCCCAGTATTGCACTGATCTGGTTGGGTTTGTTTCAAGGTTTGCTGGGAAAAGGCTTAAGGGCATAGGGGTGTACCTCATATTATCACTGTTTCAGAAAGTCTCCAGTGCAAGTCCAACTGTTGCAGCGAATCAAAATAAAGAGGAAAAGAAAAAAGAAAATGAAGCTGTGAACCGACATCAAAATGATGTAAATCTTTGTTTTACACTACATAATAATAAAAGAAGGACTATTGTTTGGTTAGATTCACAAAAGGTGCTTAAATCTGAAATTCTTTCCTCTATTTTGAAATCCCAGATTTTTGGGAAGAAGGCCTGCTATAGCATGCATATAGAAAAAATCCTTATATAAGAGCTTCGTCTTGCATGTAATGGGTAGGGTTACTCACGCATTCGTAGATCTCTACTTTCTATGTAACCAAAGAATTTGGGCTGTTGGGAAATAAAAGTCAGGATACTGTTGTTCCTAAAGAGAATGGTGATTCATGAATAGTTGAACAGCGTGCATGATGACTGAAAAAGGATGTTGGCAGCACTAGCTATACCTCAATAGAGCTTAATAATTCACTTTATGCTAAAGTAAAGGAAACTTCCCATGAACTAGCTTATTTGACACAAAACTGGCAGGAGTGGCTGACACACCAGCAGGCTGTGCCGCCATTCAGAGAGACCTGGACAGGCCCAGAAGAGCTGGGCAGGGAGACATTTAATGAAATACGACAAGGGCGAGTGTAGAGTCTTGCATCTGGGAAAGAACCACCCCATGTCCCAGTCTAGGCTGGGGACTGAGCTGTTAGAGAGCAGTGTAGGGGAAAGGGACCTGGGGGTCCTGGTGGACAGCAGGTGACCATGAGCCAGCAACGTGCCCTCGTGGCCAAGAAGGCCAATGGCATCCTGGGGTGTGTTAGAAGGGGTGTGATCGGTAGGTCAGGAGAGATTCTCCTCCCCCTCTGCTCTGCCCTGGTGAGACCCCATCTGGAATAGTGTCTCCAGTTCTGGGCCCCTCAGTTCAAGAAGGACGGGGAACTTCTGGAAAGAGTCCAGCACAGAGCCACAAAGGTGATTGAGGGGGTGGAACATGTCCCTTACAATGAAAGCCTGAGGGAGCTGGGTCTCTTTAGCTTGGAGAAGAGGAGACTGAGGGGTGACCTCATGAATGTTTATAAATACGTAAAGGGCGAGTGTCAGGAGGGGGGAGCTGGGCTCTTCTCGGTTATGGCCAGTGACAGGACAAGGGGTGCAAGCTGGAGCACAGGACGTTCCACAGTAACATAAGGAAAAACGTTTTCCCTGTGAGGGTGGCAGAGCCCTGGAACAGGCTGCCCAGAGAGGTGGTGGAGTCTCCTTCTCTGGAGACATTCAAAACCCGCCTGGACGCGTTCCTGTGTGACCGGCTCTGGGTGGTCCTGCTCTGTCAGGGGGCTTGGACTAGATGATCTTTCGTGGTCCCTTCCAACCCCTGACATTCTGTGATCTGGTCTCAGCTGGAACCTCTAGAGATACACAAACACTGAATCATTTTATTCTGTTTCTCTCGCAGATATGTATGTGTGTGATTTAATTTATTTGTTGCAGCTACAGTGTGAGCCAAGCTTCATAGAAGACAGACTGAAGCTTTATGAAGTGCTGAAAAAAGAACATGATGCTTTGCTAGCTTACAGAGTGGCCAACCAGAGCAAACCTATCAAAATTACTCTGACAGATGGAAAGATGGCTGAAGGGGAATCTTGGAAAACCACGCCGTATCAATTAGCTGTAGGAATTAGGTAACCTGCAGATTCAAGGAGCTGTACTTTAGCAGTGATAAGTCTGCTGTGATCACGTGTCTCTTACCTTGTTGCATAAAATATGTATGCCCTGGTCAGTGGATGGTGACTCTTGTAAGTTGGCTTATTTGGAAAGCATTGAAACTTCAGCTTAATGCAGAGGAAACAGGTAGGCGAAGTTACAGTTCTGAGTGATGCTGGAGATTCTGTGCTGAGATCATAATGCTTGCTTCCAGTTAAAAAAATGTAACAGTCAGTGAGGCTGCTGGGAATTAATAGAGACATCTGAAATTTTGTGAGTTACCAGGTAACAGTAGAAACTGTTGTTAGATGCAGTCTTTCCTCCAGATCCCCAGCACCGAAAGTGGTTGAATGAAAGTTTAAGACCTTTGAGGGTCTATACCGTAAAAGTAGAAGAGTGTTTAAGACGACTGCAGAAGAAAAAGATTAAAGGTCTTTAGGTGCTATGAGATGTGGGTGGGGTCTCGCAGGTTTTAAAACCTAAGCACTTTTGCAAATCTGAACCTAAATACTTTGGTCTCTTCATCTGTGTTTTTTAGTCAAGCATTGGCTTCAAATGCAGTTATAGCCAAAGTGAATGGTGAATTGTGGGACCTGGATCGTCCACTGGAGGGAGATTGTACTCTGGAGCTGCTTACGTTTGATAATGAAGAAGCAAAAGCTGTAAGTAAACACTTATTAGTTTCTGCTTGATTAAAGGAACTAGTGACATGAAATTGGTTGCAGCATTATGCTTTTAAAATCTTGAATTAAAAAAAAACAATCCCCAAAACGATTCAAGTAATGTGTTTGTCATGATTTGACAAAGAAGATTAGCTACGAAGTACCTGTAGGTCAATAAAATCTTAGTGTTCTTTTCTTCCCTTCTCTTTTAAATAAACAGGTTATTTCTCAAACGAGATCATACAGAATGTGTTGATTTGTATGCTAGCTTGAAATAGTTTGATGTCTTCAGAGACCTGTGGTCTACTGTTTGACTCAGCACGTTTGAAGATCAGACACTGAAAGCAACAGTGAGGATGTCTTGCAGTTTTCTAAAAACTGTCCAGTATCAGATTTTACTCAAATAAAAAATCTACATCTCCTTGTCCCATCTGTTTGTAATAAACTTAAGTAGGTGTATCTTAGTCAATTAAATTATGAATACACTTAGTGACACACCCAAGATGGATTTTTTTTTTTTGATGGGATACAGTCTTAAGCCTTTGTTTATCTTTATGCACTAGAATTAGACTTCATTTTGTTAAAGAATTGCTCATGTGATTAAGCTTGTTTGAGGCATTTCAGGAGCCTGTAAAGGCTTTATCTTTTAGAGGTGGCTATGAAGTGGTCTGAATTAATAGGGACTTGGAACATAAGACTAGTATTGACCTACTGGGTTATTGACTCCTATCTTCTGACATTTCAGGTAATGTGGTTTACAGTCATATTGATAAATGTACTGTATGTGACAATGGTAAATTAATTGGCTGCATTGCTTTAGATGTGGTCAGTGCCTAGGCTTTTACCTGACCAGAAACTAACACACGTGGACAAGGTACAGTAAGCACTAAGGTGACGGCATCGTGCAGAGGTGTGGTCACCTTGCAGACTCGGATACGATGGGGCTTTATTGCTACAGCTGCTGTTATACTAATCATTTAGTGCATTTCAGAATGAAAACAGGAAATTGTTATACTTATCACAGAATTTAAGGAACACTTATTCCAGCATATTTCCCATCTGCAGATATACCTCTGTTTTGTTTTTTCTTTTTAGTTACACAGTGCCAATGACCCCATGACTTGCTGACCTGGCTTTATTTGCAGGTTTATTGGCATTCAAGTGCTCATATTCTTGGAGAGGCCATGGAAGGCTATTTTGGGGGCTGCTTATGCTATGGACCACCAATTGAGAATGGATTTTATTATGACATGTATATGGAAGACAGGTAAAATTTCGGTGTCTTAAGAACTTTAAAACTCTGTATTGAGGCTCAGTACTGGAATTATTTTTGTTCCGTCATGTTTCTGCATGTTAAAAGTAAAAGTGTGTATCTAGTGTGGTTTAAAACTGACAGGTTCGTTTTCCATATATGCATATACATTGAGTGCATGTCTATATTTAAATTCAAGAGCAGTGTTCAGACACCTCCTCCATGAGACTTGCAGCTGTTGAATGTTCTGTGAAAAAAATGTGAAGTAAATTGGGTAAAACTTTCAGAAGTTTCTGAGAGATATAGGAAACAGTTTCCTTGAAGAATCATGGGAGTTTGGTTTCAAAGTGCCATAGTCACTTGTAGAAATGGCACGTATGCACGTAGCTTGTATAGGTGTTTACTAGTTTTCTAATCCTTGTGCACAGCTTTACCGTTCTGTTTTTTCCTTGTTTATCTTTCTGTAGTCAGGGAGAATACTGAATCTGCATCAGCTGATAAACTAGATGGAGCAGCTGGGTTGAGCCTTTTTTTCCCTTTTTTTCTTAAGTAATGTATACTTTGAGCTACAGATCTTCCAGGCCTTTAAACACGTCAAAGACTCTTCTAGAAGTGATTGCAGCAGGCTTGTTCAGGGTGATAGCATTTGTGTTTCTGAGTTTAGTGTCTGAAAGTACAGCTGATTGTAAGAAACTAAGAAAATACTGTGACAAAGCACAACACATCCCATGTTTTTCAAATTAGACCACTAGAAAGTGGTCACTTAAAAAATGGGAATATAAAAATAATTAATTTATTTTTCTTTTGCCTGTGACTTTGTTTAGAGGTGTATCTAGTACTGAATTCCCACTACTAGAGAACCGCTGTAAAAATATCATAAAAGAGAAGCAGACTTTTGAAAGGCTGGAAGTCAAAAAGGAGATCCTGTTAGACATGTTTAAGGTAAATATTTGGAATACCTGTGATTCTGATATAGTCATGTTTTAAAATTTAACTTTTATAAAATACTGCATGTGACTGACTCATCGGAATACTACCTGTCTAGTAAAACAAAGAAAAGGAATAGCATCCTTTTCCCCCCCTCTCCATATCCCTCTCAAGTGTTTAGGATGTTTTCAGGCAACAATAAAACCAATTTCTTATTACACAAAAAGCCCTCAGGCTCAGTGAGATGACAGAGGGGTTAGTACACAAAAGGCATACGTTCATTCTGACTCACTTGTGAAGATAAGTCAAAAATGACTTTGTCCTCTAGTCCTCTGTCTCATACAGTGGATATTGCCAGTCTCACTGTACTGTGTTTTAATTGTCTTTCAAAACTTTGAGGTGCTCAGGTGGTAATCACTACACTTAACACACCCTCAGGGAAATTAAGATATTTTGTCTCTTTCCCCTCTTGTTTTTTTAATTCTTCTGAAAGGATGTTGAACTTCTGCATACTTGTATGTGATCCTGTGATTTTTTTTTTCGTTGTGTCTTTTACTGATGTATTTGCATTATTAAGAAATAATTGTAAAATAGAATTTTATTAGCCATTTTATTGGTGTTTCTGACTTTCATGTTTCCACATCCAGTATAACAAGTTTAAGTGTCGTATCCTTAATGAGAAGGTGAACACACCAACTACCACAATATACAGGTAAAGAAAATTAAATTAAAAGGTGTTATGAAATATTTCTGTAGTTAGGTATATTTCACTTAAGTTGAGAGGAGGAGAAAATTTTTCTTTATTATTATTGTAACTTCTGAATACTTGTGTGATTGGGGCTTACATTTGCAATTAATATTGCTACTTATGTAAAACCAGATCCTTTCTTTTTCTGCTGGGACAGATTAGATCTCGATTTGTGGACAAATGGCAAATCCACTTCTCATTCATTTCCCTCTGGTTAAACAGATTAAAATAAGTTTCCATCCATGACATTGAATTGCTGGATAATGAGTAAAGCTAACTCTTAGCTCAGCGTGGGGCAAGGAACCTGTTCATTCAGTTGCCAGGGATAAAACTAGGTGGTTAGAAAAAGGCAAAACCATCTTTTTCTGGTTGATGCTCATACTTTAAAATTTCCTGGCCAACTTTAACAAAGTTTACTTACAAACTATATGAATTGCTCAGTGTGTTACAATGTTCTTCATAATGGATCGAGTGTGCTGAGTATTTACTGAGCGAATATTCTGCTCCAGGTAGAAGGCACCGTTACATTTAAGATGCACTGAATGAGATGAGTGTTGCCTGTGTATACTTATTAGCGTGTTTGAGCGTGTCAAGTGTTAACTTGTGTGCCATTAGTAACTGTGTTTTAAAATGTTGCAGCGGTTTGAAATGCATACTTTTTTCTCTTGGTGTATAGGTGTGGTCCGCTGATTGATCTCTGCAGGGGTCCACATGTGAGACACACTGGAAAAATTAAGGCCCTTAAAATATTTAAGGTAAGTTTAAATTAACTGTGCATTAAAACTTAACTAAACTGTGGATCAGTTGATTCATTTGTGTACTTATTGTTCCTGAAGTGATTATGCTAGGGTCCTTTGTATTGTTTTCTTTGCTTGCTCTGAAAGTAGTCCTTCATTTCTTTCCCAGCTCCCATTGTACAAGTAGAACTACCGGCTTCCATCATTCATCTCTTTCCAAGGTTTACTGATTTTTGACCATCATAATAGTACTTCAGAGAAAGTTAACAGCATCTCTTTTTTTTTATCAGAGTATTAGTGCAGTAACATGCATGCTTAGACTATAATGAAGAGCACTGCAAAAATACTCAAGCTCGTAGTGACTAGGTTAGCTTGGAACCAACTGTACCATGCACAGTGGAGAGGTGCGGTGCCTAAGCCGATGTGCCGGTCCTGTGCACTGGTATCTCCAGCCAGCACTGCACTTGCAGTACAGATAGCCCAGTCTGAGGCTGTACCGCCTGTCGCATCTGCGTGGATGCACTCAGTTCTGCAGTGAATGAACACCCAGATATTAATTGGGTCAGAAAATAGTATTTTGACCTTGTAAGATGGTATCTTTCAGGTACAGGAGGTGAAGTGGACCCTGGCAGATCTGCAGGTGCTGCTGTTTAAAAATGGCATTGCTCACAGAAAGTCAGAGACAGTGTTCGCAGATGTCTCTGGTTATGATATAGTTTAAGTTCCTTGCAGGTGCTAATTTTGGTAACCTTACTGGAACATTCATCATAGTTGTTTTTGCTGGCTTCCTGACTGAACTTTGAGTTCCAGGGATGAAGTGTTAGATTGTCAAAACAGATAGGATTTAACTGTGAGAGTGAATTAGTTTTGTTTTGTCTTTTGTGTTTCCCTACTGCATTGTGTTTTGAATGTGAACAGCTGCTGCTTTTTTGGAAGAATCAATGTGAGATAACAAAACTTGCCATGATGTGAGTTAAAACAAGGTACCAAAGCAGAATAAAAGTAAGACTTGACCAATCACTTTAATTTGTCTTCTATATTATTACGCTGAGTAAAAGGCAGTGCAATTAGCTTTGTATTATAAACAAATGCTGGATGACTTCATATAATTCTTCTTCCAAGGAAAAAATCTCAACATTCGAATTCATTAGTGTTTATTCCTCCATTCCCTGAGATTATGTAATACTAACTTAAAGTATGGGCTTTGTGCATCAGAATTCCTCTACATATTGGGAAGGGAAATCTGACATGGAAACTCTGCAGAGAATATATGGAATATCCTTTCCTGATAACAAAATGATGAAGGAATGGGAAAAATTCCAGGAAGAAGCCAGAAACCGTGACCACAGGAAAATTGGAAAGGTACGCTATTTCATGGTCCACTTCTCTTTTATGCTTCCGTAACAGAATTCGCTCTCTTTTCTTGTGTTTTTTTTTTTCCATTCTTTGACAGTTTGAATGAGTGCCAGTTCTAGGAACTTCTTGGTGTCAGTTGTATTTTAAAATTTTAATTCTGCTCAACTTGTCACTTGAATACAAATGCTAAACTAATGTTGGGAAGAAGTAATGGGGTAGTCCCTCGGTTAGGGAAGTTATCTCAAGCCTTTTAATGTAGAACCTCTTCAGATTCTACCTAAACCACTTTATTTTTCATAGGAGAAATTAGTGAAAATTGTGTAAATAATATAGTTTGGTCATTCTTTATTGTACACATAAATAAGGTAATAGTTAAGTGTATATACGTGTGGTACTTCAACTGTTGTTGTTAATGTTGTTCATATATTCCTCTACTAGATTTAAATGAACAGATTTAATCTTAAATTGAGTGTAAGTAGGAAGACATTAGATTGTCACAGACGAGGATTGTGACTTAATACCCGTCATGATGGCATGCAGTCTCCTAATTGTTGCCAACTTTGCCACAGTTTTGTAGAGAAAGTGGAGTTACAGGGAGGGTAGTTGAGAGACGATAAGCTTTGTGGATGTTTAAAGGCACAAGGGGCAGTGCAGGTGAAAGCAGGGAGACATTAAAGTGAAAAACTCCTGTGTCAGTGAAGGTCAGCACTGTTGGCCGAGAGGGTGCAGGTGTGAACCTCTCACTACATACTGGCAGACATGAAAGACTGTGAAGGGCCTTCATAGCAAAGATGAAAATGGAGGGTAACTCGGCAGAAGAAGAGCCAATGAGGAATTTACAGAGAACAGTGACAAAGGGAAAAAGTAGAAAAATTATCTTTACGGAATTGTTCATGCTTATTTCTATTTGTATAGTATTTGTTTGAGGATTACTTCTATGCCTCTTCAAAAACAAATTATCTAGTATCAAACAACTTATCTGGTGTCTGTGTGTATCTAACACCTATGATACTGAAGAGGCTGAGGTTCTCCAAAGATGTAGCAGAGCCACACTGCTGAGCCGCTGTTTTTGCGGCAGAACTCTGATAAAGAATGACTGGCTTACAGGCTTCAGCCATCAGCCATGATGGGCATATGCTTAAGTACTGTGGTCACTAAAGGTAAGATTGGTTAAGGCTTCAGGATTTTGAGGAAATGTGTGTTCACGTAGTCACAGAGTCAAATTGAATTCCAGTGTTATTACAAACTTCTAAGAGTAAGACGTACAGATAAATTAATTACTCTTGCTGAGAACTTGTAGAATTCTGGAAATAGTCTTGTTGCTGTAATGTTTCATTTTTGTGATCAGAGTTTCAACATGCGTGAAGTAGTCATGTTCTGCCTGAAGTGTGTTACAGCAGTCTGTTCTTAATTTACCTAGGAGCAAGAACTCTTCTTCTTTCACGATTTGAGCCCTGGAAGCTGCTTTTTCCTCCCTAGAGGTGCCTTTCTTTATAACACACTGGTGGATTTCATACGAGTGAGTATATGCTAATGTAACTCCGAATAAGCTTAATATCAGTTGTCGATCTGAAGTGATCTGCCATTCATAGCACACCAAAAGAGCCATCCCCAGAAAGGGAAACATCTGTGTGTGTAAACATGTGCCAGAGTTTCACTATGACTATATAGATCTAACTTCTTTGAAAATAGGGCAGAGTAAAGCATTAACTTGTGGTTTTTCCAGTTGTACAAAACCTACGTGTGCAGTAGTCTTTAGTCTCCAGTAAATCGCCATCATAAGAGCACAGTTAAAAAGAATTGGGCTTTTGCTTGTCAGAAGCTCTACCACCTTTGAAATGTTGAATTTGTTCTGTAGGAGGAGTATCACAGGCGTAACTTTACTGAAGTCGTATCTCCAAACATCTTCAACAGTAAACTCTGGGAAGCTTCAGGACACTGGCAGCACTACAGTGAAAATATGTTCTCTTTTGAGATAGAGAAGGAAACTTTTGCCCTTAAACCGATGAATTGTCCAGGACATTGGTTTGTACTCTCGACTGAAAACCTTCTTATTTTGCTATATTTATCCTCTGTGGGGCTGAGGGGAAATAAAGTGGAGTATTAATAGATGTTATCATGTATGTTTACTGCGGACTACTAAGGAACTAGTGTGTCCAGAGAGCTCCCCCGACAGCGTCCCAAAGCAGACCAAATACAGTTCTTGTAGGAGGATCGTTCAGTAAGTCTGCACTAAGTGAGCTAATGCAGTCTGCACCACTAGTGTATACAGACTGGGGAGGATAGAGATAGGCATCGGGTGGGGTGTAGCAAAAGAAGCTACAGGTTAACCAGTCTTGATTGTTACTCTCACAGGTTTTTTTGTAGGTGGTCTTTAGCAATATGTTCAGTGCTGCACTTTCCTGTTTGCCTGCCTGTTAGGATGCAGACAATCTGAAGGAATAAACACTTAAAAATGTGATTACTGTCTGTACTGATCTTGTTTCTGTGTTGTCTTAAGTCTTCTATAAGAAGGATAAAAGGAAAGTTCTTTCACATTCCTCGTAGCTTGATGTTTGCCCATCGTCCACGATCCTGGAGGGAAATGCCTCTTAGACTTGCAGATTTTGGCGTTCTTCACCGGAATGAACTCTCTGGGACTTTAAGTGGCTTGACTCGTGTAAGGCGCTTCCAACAAGACGATGCTCACATCTTTTGCACAATAGAACAGGTAAAAAAAACCCCAAACAAACAAACCCAAAACCCCAACAACCTTCCCCCTATCAGCCAAGCAAAAAACCCCCCTTCGTCTCCCAGTGCAAAGCAACATTAAACAAGAAAAAAGCCCCAAAATATTTCAACTCTCACTTCTTCTGTTGTGTTGCTTTGTAGCATAATGCTGCCTCTGATTTTTGTTTTTTGGGAGGTTTAGGTGCTTCCTTCTTATCTCGTCTTCTGCGATATTGCTGAAGTCAATAGCCTGTCGAACTTAGCTTCCCTGTTACAAGTTTCTCAAATAGCAGAGCCATAATTTATGTTATTTTTCTCTTTGAAATTAAAAAATGCCTGTATCAAAGGAAAACTGTTGCTTGAGTGACGTTATTGATTGTGAATTATGTATTAAGATTTTCTGTATAGAATTTTTCCCTCTAGAAAATACATTGGGCAACTAAATCCCAAAAGGTAAAATCTTTTACATCTCCCGTCTCCCCTTGCAAAGAAAAAACCTGTTGACCACACTTTATTTTCCATAGTAATGCTGAATAAATACTTTACTTTGTCAGTAATGCCATAGATTTTAGTGGAGTTATGTGACTACATTGATGTACTCTTGACAAGTCTGACTCATGTTGTTTGGCTTCAGAAGCCCAGGCTTAACGAGAACATTACTTCTCTTGCCACGCTGTGAAGCCACGACACCTCAGTCCTCTCTTTACTCATAACCTAGATTAGGGTTTGTAGGATGTAATTTTCATGTGATTTTTTTTTTTTTTTTACATTTAATGGACTCTTACTTTCTGGTTATGAGGAGTTCAGTGAATCCAATTACATCTCTATGCAAGTACATTTTAACTAATAAATTTTGTTTGTGTTTAAGATCGAAGAAGAAATTAAGGGCTGTCTTGATTTCTTGAAGTCAGTGTATGCTGTCTTTGGTTTTACTTTTCAACTACATCTTTCTACAAGACCAGAAAATTATCTAGGAGAGTTAGAGGTCTGGGATCATGCAGAAAAGGTAATTCACTTAAAAACAAACAAAGCAACCCCTTAATACGTGTATTTGCAGAGGTGGATATTTAACTAAGTTCTTTCGTGTTGAATAGTGAGATTAGTGAAACTGCTTAAATCAAATGCTAAATATTGTCCTTAGTGGAAATGCCTCTAGAAAAACATCACATTGAATGTGAAGTTTCTGTATAAAATGAGAGCTGATTCTTACTTAGCCCCTTATCTTGAACCAATTTGATTTTTATTAATCTTTTTTTCTGATTAGTCACAACATTGGTAAAACGGACTACTCTTATTTCAGGATTATTTATGATAGATGACTAAATGATTGAACCATAGAAGTTGTGCTGCCGGTTGACTCCCTTTGTATCGTGAAGGCAAATGCTTTGACTTACAGTAACGAAAGGCCCTGCTGTACCTTTCCTAACCATTCTCTTATTTTCATGGGTAGCAACTTCAAAACAGCTTAAATAACTTTGGAGAGCAATGGAATTTGAATCCAGGAGATGGAGCTTTTTATGGTCCTAAGGTTAGTGAATCAGCATTTTAATATAGCCTTGGGATGGACAGGAATACAGACGCAATGCAGGCAAACTATATTTAGTAACTGTTGTTTTGCTTCACAGATTGATATTAAAATCAAAGATGCTATTGGCAGGTACCATCAATGTGCTACTATCCAACTTGACTTCCAACTACCCATTCGATTTAATCTTACTTATGTTGGGTGAGTGGTTAAGCTAAACATTTTCCTCCTTTAAATGAAAGAATTAAATGAAAAGAATTAGTTACTTTCATTTTCTATAATTCCCATTAAACTGAGATGTATTAATGCTTTATTGCTCACTTAACAAATGATTAGCCTGTGTATCAGTAGCCTGGTTAGGAGGAGAAAAATCCCTGGTGAGTAGAGGACTGAGTCACGAACTTGAAGATATTTCCTCAGCGTAATGATAATTCACTTTAATTGTAAATGCTACTGGTTGCAGGAAGATTTCATGATCTGTCTTGTCTGCCAGCTCTGAAGAGAACTGATAGTGTATAACGCTGAAGAAGACTCGGCTGATTCAGTTTTCACTTTCAGCCTAGTCACTGTGTCTCCTTTTGAAGACATTGCATACAAATTAAAACATGTCTTAAGGAGCTAGTAGGTTTGTAGAAAGGACTTCATTCTTTTTATCAGATAAAGTTAGTTAACTTTGAACATAAATGGAATGCAAACAGTTTTTAATGAAAATCTCACTCACTGTGGCTTCCAGGTAGGAAGAGAGATGTTCATCCGCTGAGTGAATTAATCTTAGTACCATGTTGACTTGAACCCACATTTTCTGTGTTGTTTTTCTTGCTGTGATTGTTTTTGCGTATTATAAAGAGTTTGATGGGGAAGACAGGAAAAGAATCTGTTATTTTTTTGGTCCTGCTGCATGTTCTACAGTAGATGTCGTAGCTCTTTGGTAGGTGATAATGCAAACAGCAACTGGCTTTTTGTGTGCACAGGATTGTAATTTAAGGGAAGAAATGAGCAGTAAACGCAACAAAATAAAAGCAAGACACAGCAGAAAAGAAAGAACGAGGAAGAACATCAAATATTAAAATGCGCAGAAGTGGAGCTGATTCAGTCGAGTGTCTTTTCAGACTTAGGAGTTTGTGCCTATGCCACTAGCTACAGGCATTATTTTAAGTCAGTATTCCTTTAAAAGCCCAGGTGACTTAAAGTACATTTTTAATAAAAATCGTAGATTTTGCCTCAGTATAAATAACTAAATTTTGTCTTTCCATGAAAAGTAGAATCAAAACTGTTCGTAGGGTGACCTGTGTGTGAGCCAAGAGAAAAAAAATTTTTTTAAACTTTATTTATTCTTTTTCAGTAAGGATGGTGATGATAAAAAAAGGCCAGTGATTATTCACAGAGCTATCTTGGGATCTGTGGAGAGAATGATAGCCATTCTCGCAGAAAATTATGGAGGAAAATGGTATGTGGCACAAATGCGGTTCTAAAAATGTTTAACAACATACAAAATACAGATCCTCACTAATGTCTCATATATTATAATGCGAAATAATATCCCTAGAATTTTTTCAAATTTACAAGGTAAGTTTACAAGAAAATGAATCTAATTTTATGGTCTGAGTTGTATGATATCCTTTTATTAATAGTTCATTATTAGAAATGTGATTGCAGGAAAAAATTAAGACAATAAAGCAGAAATGAGAATTGTAATTAAATGTGTATGTGCTGCATTATTCTTGTTCCTTTTTTCTTAACAATAGCGCTTTTGTATTGGGAAGATGTTGACGTATGTAAAACAATTATTTACATAGATGTAAATTAGTCCTAATATGTGAAATACTTTTTTGAACTTGTAAGATGTATTGTTTCATCTTGGACAAACTTTGAAGATATTACTTCTTCATTAATGTACTTAAAGTATTAAGGAAGAGTTAATTCTTTCAGCCGCCTATCTGTCTGACTGTCCACCTTTCACTATAAAGTTATAAATAAAAATGGTAGTTATGCAAAAATTACTCTGTTTAAAATTGTGATGTCAGCTAGGAAGTGAACAGAAGATCAAAGTTCTGCATGTGTCATTTTACTGGAATCAATCTATTTGCTATTTTAGATGAACTTGGAAAGAGGAAGATAGCATATTATCCAACATCCTTAGCTAGTGTAAATATTCTTATAAAGTAAATAAATTATTATTTGGGAACATGACTATGGATATGAGTGCAAATGTAAAATGCACATTTATTTCATGTTTTTCTTATCCTGCTCGCCAGGCCGTTCTGGCTGTCTCCACGGCAGGTCATGGTTGTGCCTGTGGGACCTACTTCTGAAGAGTATGCCCGGCAGGTGAGAGTAGGGCCTTCCTTTTTATAGTAGCAAGCAATTTTAAGTACTGTCCTAGAACAGAGAGTGAATGCTTTAATAATTTTGGAGACGCACTTTGGGGGGGAGAAGTAATTTTTTTCCATATAGCCTAAAACTTCTGTAAGCCTGCGAAAGGGATATGTAATTTCCAAATGGTTTGGGTTCTGTTATTATGTACATACTTCAGTAATTATTCAAGGAAAAGACATTCTGGATGACAAACCTCATTACCAATGTTTCATCACAGAATTATCTGCTTAAAGTAGGGGCAGAGCTGATTTTTGAGTTTCCTCCATTTCCCAGCATGTATACCCTTGTCTAGATTACATATGACCATGGTTGTGTTTACCCCTCTCCCCTGCTTTTCTTTTGATGCAAGTGGGTTTGCTCTTCTCCTCTTTCTCCTTTCTCAGACTGAGAAAACACTTTTTATATTCAGCAGTGTAGCTGTCTAGGGAGATCAGCAGGTATTTGTTATGGATGTTACCTTGTATTGTCTTCCAGCAGGAGCCCTGCTAAGCCTTCAGTGTGTGTGCAGTTTCCCTCACATAACTTTGTTGACTTCCTTACAATGATTCGCAAGAGCAGATTCATGCACATGTGAATTAATTATTGGAAGAGATCAGGGATTACACTACGTACAAATTTATGTGGTAGAATATATCCTGTAATATTAAGTGAGATTGAGATTTTATTTTTTTTCTTTTTAGATTTGCAGGGAATTTTTTGAAGCAGGATTTATGTCAGACGTGGATCTAGATCAAAGTTGCACGTTAAACAAGAAAATTAGAAATGCACAGCTGGCCCAGTATAACTTTATCTTAGGTAATTGCAGCATCTTCTATTTCTGAATATCATTTTTAATTTTGGGCATAGGGTTTGTCTAGACTCTCATTTTGTAATGTAGTCAGTTTAATACTGTTTGTGATCTGTCTTGCAGTGGTTGGAGAAAAGGAGAAAGCAAATAATGCTGTCAATGTGCGAACAAGAGACAACAAAGTTCATGGAGAGATTTCAGTATCTTCTGCCATTGAAAAACTCAAGAAATTTAAGAGTTCACATATTCCAAATGCAGAAGAAGAATTCTGATGTTGCTGATGGGGGGGGGGGAATAATATTAGCTGCCCATGTGAAATGTGTTTCTTCCCATACAGCAGTAATGCTCATCTGACAGAATTTTCAGTTAATGGATACACAAAATAAGCGAATGTAGCAACGTTGGTGCTCTGGGAACAGCATGAGAGGATAGATGCAACTGCCAACTCCTTTGGCAATCCCATGGGATTCCAGTCTGCGTGAGTCGCAGAATGCTGATATTTTTAAATAAGTCCTGCACCTCTGCTAAAATGTGTTGGTTTTGCAGTGGAAATCAGTGAGGGCTGCATGAAGTCAAGGAACAGGAGGCTGGGAGGTGTACTGGCTGCTGCTGTGATTGCTGAGCTGCATCGGTCCTGTAGCAGTTGCATAACTGATGTGATGTGGAATCCAAAGCTTGGCAGTTGGTAGGTGCATCAGGAGCATTTTGGTTGGGTTTTTTTTTTTCTCATTCCAGATCATACTTTTTTTTGGGGGGGGACACACACAGGGGCGGGTGATGGCTTGATTCTTTCTCAATTTATGTTCACAGGCTACAAATACATTAATACATTGGGGTCTTTGTTGGAAATCTCAGTGAAACAAGGCACAGATTGTGTTGGTGTGATAATTGGTTGCTGTAAAGGTGATTGCCAAGAATGAAGTTGAGTTACTCACCGTATCTGTGTGTGGAAAGTGTCATTATTTTTTCCTGTGTTTGCTGTTGGTTTGGCTTTTTTTCTAAAACAAACCAACCTTTGAAAAAACTGTGTGTAATTTATTGCTGTGTTTGACTGGGATACTGAGGTGTGGATGACAATTTCCATTATAAAACACAGCATGTTGGAATTTAAGTTGGCCATATTTAACTGACTTCATTTATGCTTATAAATAATAGTAAAGTTACTGTTGCAGGCAATTGAATCGGATTTTTTGGGGAGATGAATTTTTACTGTGATTTTTTTTTTTTCACTTCTTAGTTACAAGGCTTAGCATTAAATACATTACTCAATTATCTAAGCTATACAACTGTAGTTGTGATTTAAATATCATAAAAAGGAAGCAGAACATGCTATATAGTGCATAAATGCTATACAAAGTTAGTGTTTTTCTTCTGCCTGCCACTTATATACAGACTTCACTAGCCCTGTTTTTGGGTTGTAGTAGTTTGGGTTTGTGTATCCGTTTTTACCGATTATCCCCAGCTTTTAAAAGAAAGGGGGGGGTGGGGCGGGGAATTGAAGGAACAAGTGCTGGGAAAGCTTTTTGTTCCACTTTGTGGAATTAACATGGGGTGTGAAGGGTGATTTTTTTTTTTTTTAAATTTTTATTTTTAGTAGCATATTTTATATATGTAATACGGTATTTTTATGGTCTACAGCCTACATCATACATCTGTGATGTACTCAGACTGCAGAATTAAAACTTTAGGGTTATGCACAGTGAATTTCTAGGTTTGGCCAATATAAGACTAACTCCTTGGCATACCTCTATCTGTGCTGTCGCCGTTTCAGTTTTCAGGTGACCTGCAGCAATGAGAGGTCAGTGAAGGAAATAGATTTATAAAAATAATATAAATTAAAGTGCGCTACAGGGAGAAATAATGTCGAGGGGAGGAGGGCCAGGCGCAGACCAGGGGGGGAAAGCAGCCTGCGGGGCCGGTTCCCTGAGGCGTGCGCGGCGCGGGGCGGGATGAAGGCCCTTGGGGAACATTTCCTGAGGCTGGTCCCACC